TGTGTCCCTCTAGCCCTAAGTCGGGTCCGGTAGGACCCGTGTGGCGTCGAAGATGTAACACACTCCCCCTCTTAAAAGACCGAGTTATCTGCGAGGGCGAAGTTGTTTGTCCGATACCGGGGTGGGTCGGGAGGGACGAGCTGCGTCCTTAGCAAGGCGTTGCTTCTCATAGTCGGCGAAGATAAGGGGTGCGGAAGTCTGCAAATCTGTACTGGAGATCCACCGAGTGTCATCAGGCGCACATTGCTTGAATGTGACTTTGTACTGCCTTGGCTTGTTGCCATACTTGCGGTGCGTGATGACTCGGTCCACTTCCTGATGTTCGTCCATGGAGGGCGGATCCTGTGATCGACGTCCGGGAAACTCGTCATTTGAAGGTGGCGTGTAGATGGCCAGCTTCGATGCGTGGAAGACCCGATGCACTGTCAGGTGCGGTGGAATGTTGATCACGAAGGAAGGACCTGCGGGATCGTCTCCAACGGCAGAAGTGACTTTCCATGGTCCGAACCATTTCGGAAGGAGTTTGCGCGAAACGTCCTGCTCGAGCGCAAATTCCTCGGAGAGGACCCAAACAAGGTCTCCCTCGCGGAACGGACATGGAAGTCGATGTCGGTTAGCTTGCTGCTGCAAGCGGATCTGAGCCTTTTGCATATTTGTGCGGGCTTTGATCAGCAAGTCCCGGTACTTCCGGACGGAAGCGGGAGAGCAAGGGACGTCTATGTCRGCAGCCTGTGGCAAAAGGAGATCAGCGAAGATCCGTGCTTTCTCTCCACCATGATGTAACTCGAATGGTGTGACGCAGATCGCCGGGTGCACCGAAGTGTTATAGGCGAACTCGATGTCGGGAAGCCGGTCAACCCAATCTTTCTGGTCGGGACGGATGAGCGTACGCAACATCATCTGAGCGGTCTGGTGCGCTCGTTCCATCTGACCATCCGTCTGAGGGTGTCGAGCCGAGCTCGGTTTCATTGTCGTACCGGACTCAGCCATGAGGGAAGTCCAAAAGGCTGACATGAAACGAGTATCTCGGCCGCTCACTATGTCTTCCGGAACACCTTGGTTGGTAATCCAACCGGTGTGCAAGAGTCGTGCGAGCTCAGGCGCTGCAGCATGATACTTGCAAGGAAGGAAGCGAGCATACTTGCTCAAACGGTCAACGACCGTGAGAATACCGTCATGGTCGTGGCGATCGCGGGGAAACGGGCCTGTCACGTCCATAGCAATGGAGAGGCGTGGTGCCCGAGGGATCGGCAACGGTTTCAGCTCGCCGAAGGGGACTCGAGATCGACCCTTGTTTTGGTGGCAAACTGCACATGACTCAATGTATCTCGTGACGTCATGAAGGACGTCGGGCCAGTGAAAACGCTGGCGGAGGCGTGCTAGTGTGCGGTTCACGCCAAGGTGTGCCGAAAGTCGTGCGTCGTGGAATTCGCCGAGAAGACGAGTCCGTAAGATGCGATCTTGGGGCACAACTAGGAAGTCCTTTCCTCTCGTGTAAAGGAGAAGGAACCCGTCGGAAATCCGATAGTGGCTAGCCGGCGGGTGATCCGATGAAACCTTCGCGTAAAGCTTAGAGTAAGTCGGATCGGACTTGTAGCCTTTGACGAAATGCGGCTGCAGATCGTCATCGAGGTCGAATGCCGTGGTCACAATGGCACAAAAGTCGGGCCGTCGTGAGAGGGCGTCCGCAGCTCGATTGGCGAGACCGGGAATGTGGCACGGGTCAAAATCGAACTGGTCGATGTTTTACATCCATTGACCGATCGTGCTAGTGACCGTGTTTTGCGTTTTATAAAAAGTCAACGGATTGTTGTCCGTATTCCATTTAAAACGCCGACGGCCGAGAAGAAAGTGGTGCCACCGTTTGAGAACGGTGACGAACGCGAGTAGCTCTTTCTTCCTAGCGTCGTCGAGAGTGTTGACGAGAGGCACCTTTTGGGAGAAATACTCAACCGGATGCCAACCGTCCTCGTGACACTGTTCCAACACCGCACCAMTACCGTAYCCCGAAGCGTCCGTAGTCACTTGGGTGGGTAGGGTGGGGTCGTATATACGGAGGGCAGATGCGGCTTGCATCGCTGCCTTCAACGTAGTGAACGCGCCACGGGCTGCGTCGTCGAACTCGAAGGGCACCTTCGGGGACTAAAGTCTCAACAAAGGAGCGTCCACTTTCGAGTATGACTCGACGAATCGCTGATAATATCCAGCCAAACCCATGAAAGAGCGTACATCCGTCGTGCAACGGGGTCCCGGCCAATCCACGATGGCTTGGATCTTGTCCGCTAAGGGACGAATGCCTTTCGGCGTGACAAAATGACCCAAGTACTCGAGCTCTTGCTTGGCGAATTCGCATTTGTCGAGATTCGCTTTGTACTTGGCTAGTCGCAAACGATTCAAAACAATGCGAAGGTGTACGATGTGCTCGTCCAACGTCCTACTATAAACCAAGATGTCATCAAGGTAGATGAGGACGCTGCGATCGAGCAAGTCGCGAAACTCAGTCGTCATTGCTGCTTGAAAAGTTGCGGGGGCATTGGTGAGGCCAAAGGGCATGACAACCCACTCAAAATGCCCGTACCGCGTCTTGAACGCGGTCTTGTACCGGTCTTGAGGCTGGATTTCAATCTGGTGGTAACCTGATTTCAAGTCCAACTTCGAGAAGTACATCGCGCCGCCTAACCGCTCAAGRAGATCATCAATCCGAGGGAGAGGGCCGACGTTCTTTACGGTTTGTGCGTTAAGTTTTCGATAGTCGATGCATAACCGTAGATCTTTGTTCTTTTTCCGGACGAAGAGAACAGGTGCACCGTATGGCGAGCAACTAGGGCGAATCCAGCCCTTGTGGAGAAGATCATCGAGCTGTGCGCGAAGCACCTTGAGTTCCTCTTCGCTCATGCGGTAGATGCATCCACGCGGAGGGACGGTGCCAGCCTCGAGAGTGATCCCGTGACGTATGGGCCGATCCGGAACCGTTCCGGTGGGAGCCTCGAAGACGTCTCTATACTCGTCCAAGAGGTGAGAAATGCGTGGGTCCGACGGTGACGCGGCTGGTCCGTCCGGCGAGGGGAGAGCATGCAAGAATACAAGGCCCATCTCCTTGACGTCATTTTGAGCAATGGCGTCGCAAATTCTCGCAACGGAAACCACGTGACAAGCAATCGATGTGTGAGGGGTCGCGATCGTACATGGGACTAACACTCCGTTCCGATCACGGATGTGTACGGTTCGGTCATGGAAGTTCACCGGATGATCGGCGCTACGCAACCAAGACATGCCTAGAATCATGTCGAACTTGGTGTCGAGGATGTCAAAAGACACCGGCTCGCACGCAAGTGGCGCAAAGTAGACCGGAACGCCGTCAATGCATCGGTGAATTGACTTTTGCGTGCGTCCGTCCGCGAGTGTAACTTGCGTAGGTTGCGTCTTCCTTCGAACGTGCGGGCCAAGACCTGCGCGGGCCATAAAGGCTTGGCTCATAAAGTT